TTTCTATTTGCTACAAATGTCATTTTCTTTGTGAGAGCAAAATACTTTATGATCGCATGCATTGAATAATGATGCTTCATTGGATTCATCCATTTAAAGCAAAAGTCCCAGCTCACATTTCACATCGTCAGCCACTTGTCCATGACAGGAAGCATTCAGATTGTGACCATGCAGAGAGGCTTACCTGTCTTCACTCTACTCTGCAATTTCTATGGCCTCCACTTCCTGCTTTCTGTCCTTCATTTCAGGTCCCTGCGCTGCTGGAGTTGTGGGAATCAAGATGCCTCGTTATTGTCTATTTGGAGATACAGTCAACACAGCCTCTAGGATGGAATCCACTGGCCTCCGTAAGAAGGGAGATTGTTTTTCTCAGAGGACAAATATTCTGTCTTCCAGCAGAGGGCGACTGTGAGATAAAATGCACAATAAGTAGATACAAAGTGCCAGTGAGATGTAGAATAATTCTTCACATTAGCTGAACACAAACCTGTGTCAATCCAGCTTTTGCTACATTTGCTTTTGTTGTTGTTTACTGATAATTATTTTATTCTTCCACTTTTGCTCAGTTTTAGACTGCTTCTATATTTTTGGCTCATATACAATGAATCCGGGGATATTCTACTTAGAATAGTCATGGCATTTACCATAGAAATATGAAAGTTAAATTAAAAATCAGTAGGCAAGGTAAGAACTATACACCCTGGTTCACATTCTTGTTTCCCTCTTATTTTCCTTTTTTGTTTTTGTTGTTTAGAGATAGGCTCTCATTCTGTCATCCAGGCTGGAGTGCAGTGACATGATCATAGCTCACTGTAAACTTGAACTCCTGGCCGCCTCCTCCCAAGTAGCTGGGATTACAGGAACATACCAGCACATCCAGCTAATTTTTAATAGAGACTGGGTCTCACCATGTTGCCCAGGCTGGTCTCAAACTCCTGACCTCAAGCAATCCTTCCACCTTGGCCTCCCAAAGCATATTCGATTTTTCTGGAAATTGATTTTTGTGTATTTGTTTGAGATGGGGTCTCACTCTGTCACCTAGGCTTTGGTGCCATGGCACAATCACAGCTCACTGCATCCTTGAACTCATCGGCTCTAGTGATCCTCCCACCTCAGCCGCCTGAGTAGCTGGGACTACAGGCATGCCACCATGCACAGCTAAATTTTTAAAGCTGGGACTACAGGCATGCCACCATGCACAGCTAAATTTTTAAGTTTTTCTGTAGAGATGTGGTCTCCCTATGTTGTCTAGGCTGGCCACAGACTCCTGGGCTCAAGGAAGTCTCCTGCCTTGGTCCCCCAAAGTGTTGGAATTACAAGCAACAGCCATCATGCCCAACTGAGAATTGATTGTAGTAAAGAAAAATCTAAGCGTTTGTTATATACAAAGGAATATATTGCATTTGCTTGGCAAGGTAGAGGCACAATGTGCTGCATGAAGTAGATGTTCAATAAATACTGATGACAGTGCTAGTAGTAGAAATATATAGAAGAGAAAAAAAAAGCATTGGTAGACATGGCTGGAGCTTACAAAACCACAGGAGGCAGAATGGTATTTTGGTAGTGTACTGACAATCTGATACTAGTTTGTCCTGGCAAATCATGCCGTCAAGGAAAAGGATAAGGTCGGGGTCAGACACACGGGTTACGATTGAAATTATGTTAATCCTTATAAGTATAAGTTGGGGAGAAAGCTACCTGATCCTTCTAGCCCTCAGAAAGATAAAGATATAAATTGAAAATGGAATACCAACCTTGCCAGGAGGGTTTCTGAAATCATTTGGGATGATGTCATGTTAAGCGTTTAGCAATCATGGTATATGGCAGGTATACAATTTGGGATTGTCGTTATTCTTACTGTTGTTATTGTTCGTGGTATTGCTATTGGGCCCCTATATTGGGAAAGGTGGTATACATCAATGGACTTGTGAATGGGCGTGCCCTCACCACGTCTTTTGTCAAAGGATAACAATGTTCCAGAAGAAGGAAATTGGAGAAAATCAAGACCCCACGACTCTCCCGAATCTTCACCTTGCCCACAAGTCTTTAGCTATTTACTGGAACTTTTCCACAGGCACCCAAAGCCAGACTCCAACACCCAAGCTTGGCACTACCAGTCAAATCTAAAACGAGGTCCCTCAGGCTACTACTCTGAGCTGGAATGCGAATCTATGGAGCAAAACCTTGGGATCCTCATCACTCAGGGCCCTGAAAACTGATGCCAGTCCTTCTTTCTTACCATGTGAAATTATATTTCTTGTGTGAGGCCGTTCTTGCATTGCTATAAAGAAAAACCTGAGACTGGGTTATTTATAGGAATAGAGGTTTAATTGGCTTATGGTTCTCAGGCTGTACAGTACGAATAGTGCCTGCATCTGCTTCTGAGGAGGCCTCAGGAAGCTTTCACTCTTGGCAGAAGGCAAAGCCGGAGCAGGCACTTCATACGGCGAAAGCAAGAGCAAGAGAGAGAGTGGCAGGGGGCGGGTGCCGCACACTTTTAAATGACCAGATCTTGTGACAACTCACTATTGCAAAGACAGCACCAAGTCATGAGGGATCCACCCCTGTGACCCAGACACCTGGCGAGGGGGCAGAGCTCCAGCACTGGGGATTAAAATTCAACATGAGATTAGGGTGGGGACAAATATCCAAACTATACCATTTCTTATCTCTCTGATGTTATTTTTAAGTGTTCTTTCATTAAAATAGCCACAATTGTTTCTTCTTGATTTAGGATTCTTATCTCAGGTGTTGTTGATATCCTGAATCAATGGAAAACAAATAGGCCATGTAATGGCTGAGATTTTTATTTATCTATTTTGCATTTCCAGCTTTGAGAATTCATGTGAGTGGCTCCACCATAGCCATTCTGAAGAGAACTGAGTGCCAGTTCCTGTATGAAGTGAGAGGAGAAACGTACTTAAAGGTAGGGAGTCCACAGACACAATACATGGGAAAAGCCCTCAGACACGCTTGGGCCACCTCCTTTGAGCCTTGGCCAGGAAAGTTGAGGAGCATGCTAATCCTTTTCTGTACTCGTCGCAATGAGCACCCTCCATCCTCTGCAAGAGAAATGACCACCAAAAAATGTGAACTCAGAATTTTCCTTTACTCCAAAGAGCCCTTTTGACATTCTGAACTCTGCCACCATTTCCCCTCCCATATCCAGGTTTTGTCTCCAGTTCCTCCTCCAAACACAAGAGCTACAAACTGTCTGGTCCAGGACTTATTTAATTTAAATCAAAACCCTTGTCCCCCCACTGACTTCCCTACTCTTACTACACAACGCTGCTATGATCTGAGGTCACCTCTCTTGCCAGTTGCTTTACTATTCCGAAGCTCTAGAATCACAAGGAGTGAATGACAAGGTGTGGCCCCATTCTCCTCCTCCTCCCCATCTGGAAGTTTGTTAAAATGCAGATGTCTGGACACTCCACCAGGCCTGCTATGCAAGATTCTCTGTGGGTGTAGATCAGGAATCTATATTTTTAACAAGATGATGTGTTTTTTAACAAGATGACCACACTAATATTTGAGAATCACTACTCTAGCGTCTTCATGCAGTTCCTCACATTTAAAACAGCTGCCCTCCAAAGCCATCAGATGTCTCCAGTTGCTTCTCAGGCTGCTTTTCCAAAGTTATTACAATCTTTTCACAACTGGCAAAGCAACTATTAACTGTAAGTTACTTGCCTCCAGTAGCCATAGTGCTTCTGGCCTTTGTATTTTGATTGCACCTTGGAAAAGTCTCCTTTCATGTAAGTGTCCTAACATCATCACACTTGCTTTTTGAGTCCTCCATAGATAAATTTTTTACAAAGAACATTTACCCCAAAATAGAACCGGTTTATGGATTACTATGGTCCAAACACAGCCAATGAACCACTATTTTTTTAAATGAGTTTAATAATATATAACAGTTTTATATATATATATATATATAGCATTCATTTTTAAATTATTTATCTATATTACAGATATATATTATTACACTTTTTTTTTTTAAATAATAGTTCACTGGCTGTGTTTGGACAATATGTATTTTGTATCTCTTTTTCAAATACCAGCTTTAGCAAAAACAGAGTTTCCAGTATTCCAGTAAATTTCCATACATTCCGTAGCCTCCAGATGGACCCCACAAATGCCACTTAATGAGTTCTTAATTGTGATGTACATGTGTTTGTAATAAGATAGGGAAACTGTAGCAAAAGTTTTGTGACAAAACTTTATTGCAAAAAAGGCTAGAAGGAAATATGGACAATGACAAGCAGTTGGATTTGTTGACGTAGCAGAATTGCAGATGAGTTTTCTTCCTTTTTAAGTTAGAGTTCTTGTGATGTTGCTAGAGTGATATTTTAAAATGTCTTTTGGGGAAAAAAAAGAAAACTCTACTTTAAGAAAAGGATGTCTGCTGAATGAGAAACTTATTTTTAAAAAGGCACTTGGAAATAAAAATCTGTCTAGAGATAATGCAAATCGTAACAGGAATGTGTGATGTGCTTAAATATTGGCACTGATGAGAAATGCGGAAGTGAAACGTGTCACGGAAACAGATCACTATGGGAACAGTGGTCTACAGCTGAACTGACTCATTGGCCTCCGTGGTACCTAACTCTTTTGTCTTACCAGGGAAGAGGAAATGAGACTACCTACTGGCTGACCGGGATGAAGGACCAGAAATTCAACCTGCCAACCCCTCCTACTGTGTAAGCTTCTGGGTGTGGCAGGGACAGGGAGGAAATCAGAGATCTTGGCTCTGTAAGTTACGCTACTTAAAGCCAATTTAAGTTGGCAAGTGCCTTACAAGTGGCATATATTGCATAAGAAGGGACTATACATGAGAAGGTTTAGAAACCTCCCTTCTTAGACTGCAAGAAGGGAATTATCCTGAAAGCCTGCATTTTCCTGAGACCTCAATGACAACAGAAAAGTATTTAGTCTTGGCTTCCCTGTCTGGAACGTAGACCTTGCTTCCATGAATCAGATGTGTCGTCTCAGTATAAAACTACCTTTTTTTTTTTTTTTAAGCTCTGGATCCTTTATCCCAAGAAGGAGCTTCCACCTGGAAAAGAGGAGGAATGAACAGACTATTTAGAACTTGAGGAGATTTTGTTATTTCATTTGTTTCATTTTGTTTACTGGCTCTGTATTCATGATATTTTTAACTGTCAAAATTATGTTTTAAATGTCTTATCTCCATTAAAGTATACTTACAGTTTATGCAGAAAATATACTATATATTAGACAAGAACGAGTTAAAAGTTTCCTGAGTCTGGATATGAGCTTCTACCTATTCTGCCCACCTTCCTAGACTGTACCAGTCATCATTTTGTCCCTGCTGAAAACCTGACTATATTGCCCTGCAATAAAGCAATGGCAAAGCTAGCATTGTGTTCCAGGCTCGCTCGGGAGAACAGAAGACACTTTAGAGTTCACCTCATGTCTGTCTGGTTCTCACAGGAGTGGTGCACACTGGGGGCAAAGAGGCTCTCTGCATTCCACTCCTGTCTTCATCTTTCTGTTGAGTTGCCTAATGAAAACAGGACCTGCCTCAGCCCCAAGACTGTGGTTCTGGGTCTTAATATGAAGTCTGTGTTCTCCCTGCGATGAGGAAGACAAAGTTTCAGGGTTAACTGACAGGTTTCAATTCTCCTAAAGGTGACTTAAGTTGTCATCCAGTTGCCTATCAATACATGTTACTGCAACCATATGGCCATTTCCTTGGCTTTTGCTATGGTTGAGAAACTCTGTCTTGCAGAGGCCTAGATGGCAGACCCAGAGAGATGGCAAGCTTCTAGAAAAGCCAAAACAAGCCAAATCTTCCCTGGGGCATGAGAAACCTAGCTCCTTACTTGGAGTGTCCCAGGTCCATTCTAAACTCGTGGCCCCCTCCACCATTCTAAGCCTTCCCCAAACAAGACTCACACTGTGAAGTATGTGTGGGACCAATGAGTTTTCAGGGTTGTGTGGCAGGGGCGGAGCATCCTCCCTGCTTCTTTTCCCCTTCCTGCAGTGGCATATGTAAACCTAGATCCTCCCAACCATGCCTCCAAATTCCAGCAGCAGATCGTTTCACTTTGAAATTGAAGTCTAATTTCCTAGCAGAGATAATAGTTTTTTAAGCTCATCAAAGGCGGGGATCATTTCGTATTCTTTGGATTTCCTGTGTCTTGTACAGAATAGGCATTCAAAGATTAACTGAGTAACTGAACTGATTATTCTGGAGCTAAGGAATATTCTGTATGAATTGCTGAGAAGTTCTATTTTCTCTTCCCACCCTGTTTGCAGGGAGAATCAACAGCGTTTGCAAGCAGAATTTTCAGACATGATTGCCAACTCTTTACAGAAAAGACAGGCGGCAGGGATAAGAAGCCAAAAACCCAGACGAGTAGCCAGCTATAAAAAAGGCACTCTGGAATACTTGCAACTGAATACCACGGACAAGGAGAGCACCTATTTTTAAACCTAAATGAGGTGTAAGGACTCACGCAAATTAAAATACAGCTGCACGGAGGCAGCGACCTCAAGTGTCCTGAAAGCCTGCATTTTCCTGAGACCTCAATGAAGCAGAAGTGTACTTGGGCTTGGCTGCCTGTCTGGAACATGGACTTTTTGCATGAATCAGATGTGTGTTCTCAGTGAAATACTTACCTTCCACTCTGGAGCCTCATTCCAGCAGTTGTTCCAGGCAGCTTCCACCTGGAAAAGAAAAGAAATGAATAGACTATCTAGAACTTGAGAAGATTTTATTCTTATTTCATTTATTTTTTGTTTGTTTTTATTGTTTTTGTTTACTGGCTCTTTTTCCTTCTGTATTGATAAGATTTTTTAAATTGTCATAATTATATTTTAAATACCTTATCTTCATTAAAGTATATTTAACTCATAATTTTTGCAGAAAATATGCTCTATATTAGGAAAGAATAAAAGCTAAAGGTTTCCCAAGACTGTGTATGTGTTTCTACCCATTTTGCCCATTTTCCTGGAATACATCAGTCCCATCATCTTGCGCTTACTGAAAAACTGACTACATTCACTCACCTTGAAGTATGGCAAAGCTAGCATTGTTACTCAAGGGTGAGAACATTGAAGGTTAGTATCACCTGCTACATGTGAGGGAATTTCTGACCTTTAAACAGAGGTATTCCTTCAGCTTGTCCAATTAACAATGTGGATGGCAGTGATCTAAGTATGGGACCAAGGCAAAAGTTAAGTTCCTGTACCGTATTTTCTAACTATAAAGTATCCATGTCTCCAAGCTCCTGATCTTTCATCAGTAAATTAGGAATCATAATACCCACTTCATTAGACTGCACCACCCCCAAGCTGGCGTAGCACCACTCACAGATAATTTCCTTAGACCCACACTTTACAAGGTAAAAGGAGAAAATTGGAGATGGAAGTTTGATCTCCCCACCAGTCTGAGAATCTTCACAAGAAGCTCACTCTGGTCCTGTCTCATGAACCACTGTGAGGACCAGGTGGGCTGAAACACCAGGGGTGAACTGGGGACGAAAAGCGGAGGTGCTGATTGCTGAAACTGACATGCAGACCTTGCAGCTGCTCTGCTCCAATCAGCAGAGATGCCACACTGAGAAAACTGGATGATGCAACAGTCTTACTAAAGGCAAAACCCACAGGAAAGCCTGAATCTCTGGTTAGATTTCCCACAAAGCCCAGTGCTAATGTGGAATCTTCTTCTCACTTGGAAACAACTAAAAGGTTTTTTCCTTTTAAACAACCTTTAAATTCTAGCACTCTCTTAAGGCTTCCCCAGACCAGGAAGCAACAGCAGACCAGTGACTAAGTTACACTATTAAGCACTAAAGGTCTAACACCACCAAAGAATGACTGTAAAAGCTGGAAGAGGTGACCATCTCCTCAAATGTGCAGCATCAATGTAAAGATACAAGGATTGTGAAAACTCAGGGAAATATGATACCATCAAAAGAAATCAACAAAGCTCCAGTAATAGACCCCAAATAATTGCAACATGTCTGACAGAATTCAGAAAAATCTTCTTAAAGAGTTCAGGGAAGCACAAGAGAGTATAGATTTAAAAGTTAAATGAAATTTGAAAAACAATCCAGGAACAAAATGAGAAAATTGACAAAGGAAAAAAATGTAAAAACACACATAAAAATTGAAATCTTAGACATAAAGGATATAATAGCTAAACTGAAAAAGCTCATTATAAAGCCTCAATAGCATGTTTAATCAGAGGAAATAATCAATACACTTGAAGAGAGGACATATGAAATTACCCATCAGAAAAGAAGAATTAAAAAGGATTATAGGATACCATCAAGCAAACTAACCTTCATATAATAAGAATTCCTGAAGAAGATGAGAAAGAAAAGGGTCATATTTTTAAAATTATAGCTGAAAGATTTTCAAACTGAAGAAAGATGATAGCACTCAGGTACAGGAAGCTCAGAGGTCACCAGTCAAATTCAGAGAGGAATTCCCCAAATCATATCATAATAAAATTATCAAAAATCAAAGATAAAGAAGGAATATTCAAACTAGGAAGAGAAAAAAAAGCACACTCAATAGAGCTCCAATATAGCTTGCAGTAGATCTCTTAGCAGAAACTTTGCAGACTAGGAGAGAGTGAGATATATATGCAAAGTGTTGAGAAAAAGAAACTGTCAGCTAAGAATACTGTACCCAACAAAGCTATCTTTCAAACATGAGGAACAGATAAAGACATTCCCAGACCGGGAGAAAAAAAAAAGACCCTGAGGAAATTAATCAACATGAGGTTTTTCATACAAGAAATGCTAATGGGAGTCCAGCAGTCTGAAAGAGAAGAATGTTAACATATAACAAGAAAACATCTGAAGGTATAAAACTCACTGCTAAAAGTAAGAATAGAAATTCAGAATAATACTGTAATTATGGTATATAAACTGATAATATCTTATTTATGAAGACTAAAACTTATTAAAGATAATAATAACTACAACAATTGGTTGAAAGGCAATATAAAGAGATGTAAACTAAAACATCAAAAAGTCAAAACATGGAGGGGGAATGATGTTAAAGTGTAGTGTGTTTTGTTGCTTTGCTAAGTTCTTTTCAGTTTAAAATAACTTACTATAACTATAAAATGTTTTATGTAAGCCTCATAGTAACCACAAAGAAAGAAATCTATAATAGAGCCACTAACAATAAATAGCACAGAATTAAAACATACTACTAGAGAAAATTACTTAACCACAGAGGAAGACAGTATGAGAGGAAGAAAATAAAAAAATTACCAGAAAAATGCAAAAAAAACACTTAAAAGAATGGCAACAGAAAACATGTTCCTATCAATAATAACCTTGAATGTAAATGGATTATATTCTCCAAATAAAAGACATAGAGTAGGGCAGGTACGGTGGCCCAACGCCTGTAATCCCAGTACTTTGGGAGGCTGAGGCAGTTGGATCACTTGAGGCCAGGAGTTTGAGACCAGCCTGACCAACACGGTGAAACTCCATCTCTACTAAAAATACAAAAATTAGCCAGCATGGTGTCACACACCTGTAATCCCAGCTATTCAGGTAGCTGAGACACAAAAATCACTTGAACCCAGAAGGTGGAGGTTGCAGTGAGCCGAGATCATGCCACTGCACTCCAGCCTGGGCAACAGAGTGAGACTGTCTCAAAAAAAAAAAAAAAAAACAAGACAGAGTAGCTGAATGAATTTTTTTTAAAGAAAAACGGGACCTAACTACATGCTGTCTATAAGAAACTACACCTCTGGAGATATGTGCAGACTGAAATCAAAGGAATGTGAAAAGATATTCCATGCAAATGGAAATCAAAAAGATCAGGAGTAGCTGTACTTATATCATGTAAAATAGACTCAGGTCAAGAATAGTATAGAAACAATAAAGAAAGCTATTATATAAATATAAAGGTGTCAATACAACAGGGGATGTAGTAATTGTAATATATATGAACCCAATACTAAGGTAAAATGTAAAGCAAATATGAATAGACCTGAAGGGAGAGATTGTCTATAATATAAAAGTAGTAGAGGACTTTAGCACCCCACTTTTAGCAATAGACATATCATCCAGACAGAAAATTAATAAACATGGAGGTTAAACTGTACTTTAGACCAAATGAACCTAACAGACTTTTACAGAAGATTCTACCTAACAACTACAAAATACACATTTTTCTCAAAAGTGCATGGAGCATTTGTCCAGACAGATAATATGTGAGGGCATAAAACAAGTCTTAATAAATTTAAAGGCAAAATTATATTAAGTATCTTTTCTGACCACAATGGAATAAAACTAGAAATCCATGACAGGAGAATTTGACACAGTGGGCATGGGCATGTGAGAAAAAAGAAGAAAGAAAGAAAAAAAAAAAAAACAACCAGGAGCAATGCTGGAAACTCTACAAATACACAGAAATTAAACGACATGCTCCTGAATTACTATTAGGTCAAGGAAAAAATTAAGAAGGAAATTGACATTTTTCTTAAGGCAACTGAAAATGGAAATACAACATACAAAAATCTATGGAACAGAGCAAAAGCAGTTCTAAGAAGGAAGTTTATAGCAATAAACGCCCACATTGAAAAAGTAGAAAAATGGCAAGCAAGATGACTTTGATCTCAACAACTAGAAAAACAAGAACAAACTTAACCCAAAATTAGTAGAAAAAAGAAGTAATAGAATGGAATTAAATGAAATAGAGATTTTTAAAACAATACAAAAGATCAACAAAGCAAAGAAAATTTTTTTAAATATAAACAAAACAACATGCCTTTAGCTAGACTTACTAAGACTCAAATAAATAAAATCAAAGATGATAAAGGAAACATGACAACTGATACCACAGAAATACAAAGAATCATAACAGACTAGGAACAACTAAATAACAATAGATTAGAAAATCTAGAAGAAATGTATAAATTTCTGAACACATACAACCTTTCAAAATTGAATCATAAACAAATAGAAAACCCGAACAGAACAGTAACAAGATTGATGCAGTAATAAAAACTCTCCCATCAAAGAAAAGTTCAGGACTCAATGGCTTTACTGCTTAATTCTACCAACATTTAAAGAAAAACTAATACCAATTCTACTCAAACTATTTCAAAAAGTTAAGCAGAAGGGAATACTTCCAAACTCATTGTCCAAGGCTAACATTATTCTGATTCCAAAACCAGGCAAGGACTTCAAACCAATACCACTGATGAACATACATGCAAAAACCCTCAACAATATACTAGCAAATAAAATCCAACAGTATATTGAGAAGATGATCATTCACCACATCAAGTGGAATTCATCTCAGGGATGCAAGAATGGTTCAACATACACAAATTAATAAAGATGATACACCAAAGTTTAAAAATGAAGGATAAATACCATAAAATCATTTTCACTGATGCTAAAAAAGCTTTTAATGAAATTCAGCCTGCCTTCATGATAAAAATTCTCAACAAATTGGACATAGAGGAAACATACTTCAACACAATAAAGGCCATAATGACAAACCCACAGCTAACATCATAGTGAACAAAGAAAAGTTGAAAACTTTTTCTGTAAGATTTGAAGGAAGACAAGGATACCCACATTTACCTCATAATTTCAACATAGTATTGAAAGTTCTAGCCACAGCAGTTATGCAAAAGAAAGAAATAGATGGCATCCAAACTGGAAAGAAGGAAGTCAAATTTTCCCTGTTGGTAGACAACATAAGCATATATATAGAAAACCTAAAAGACTCCACCAAAAACTGTTAGAACTAATAAATAAATTTAGAAAAGTTGCAGGATACAAAACCAACATAGAAAAATCAGTAACATTTCTGTATTTCAATAACAAACTAACTGGAAAAAAATCAAGAGAGCAATTCTGCTTACAATAGCTCCAAGAAAAAAAAATACCTAGGAAAAAACTTAATAAAGGAGTTAAATGAGCTCTACAATGAAACCTATAAAACACTGATTGAAGAAATTAAAGAGGACACAAATAAATGGAAAAGATTCCATGTTCATGAATTCAAAGAATTAAAATTTTGAAAATGTTTAAATTACCCAAAACAATGTAAAGATTTAATGCAATTCCCATCAAAATACTAATAGCATTCTTCACAGAAATAGAAAAAGAAAATCCATATGGAAATCCAAAAGACCCCAGAAAGCCAAAGCAATTTTAAACAGAAAGAACAAAGCTGGAGGCATTTCACTACCTGATTTCAAAATGTACTATAAAATTGCAGTAACCAAAACCACAGGGTACTGGTATAAAAACAGACACACAGACCAATAGAATAGAATGGAGAACACAGAAATAAATTCATGTCTTTACATTCAACTGATTTTCAACAAAAAATCATGAACATGCATTGGAGAAAAGATAGTCTCTTCAATAAATGAGGGTAGGAAAACTATATATCCACATGCCAAAGAGTGAAACTAGACCCCATGTCTCACCATAAACAAAAATCAACTCTAAGTTGGTTAAAGACTTAAACATAAAACCCCAAATTATGAAAGTACTAGAAGAAAACATAGGGAAAACACTCCAAGACATTGGCTTAGGCAAAAGTTTTATGGCTAAGACCTCAAAAGCATAGTCAGAAAAACCAAAATAGACAAATGGAACTATATTTAACTAAAAATTTCTGCAAAGTAAACAACCAACAAAGTGAAGAGACAACCTGCTTGAGTGCAACAAAATATTTGCAAACTATTCATCCAACAAATGACTAATATCCAAAATATATAAGTAACCCAAACAACTCAATAGCCAACACACACACACACACACACACACACACACACAATCCAAATTAAAATTTCAAAAATAAGCAAAATACCTGAATAGATATTTCTCAAAATAAGATATACCAAAGTTCAAGAGATATATGAAAAAATAAATGTTCAACAGGGAAATGCAAATCAAAACCATGGTAAGATATCACTTCACCCCTACTTATACCTGTAAAGCTATTTAAATTTTTAAAAATTAAAATAAAGATATCACCTTACCCTAGTTAGAATGGCTATTATCAAAAAGACAAAAAATAACAAATGCTGGCAAGGATGTAAAGAATGGAATGCTTGTGCACTGTTGGTGGGAATGAAAATTAATACACCCATTATAAAAAACAGTATGAAGGTTTCTCAAGACATTAAAAATAGATAATAAAAATTACACACAACTAATTTAAAATATCAATATACTTTAACACAGGAGTAAAAAATTTTGCAAACTAACCAACGGGAAAAAGAAGTGCATGAAACAAAACAGAGCTACTAAGAGCTGTGGGAGAATATCAAATGGTCTCACATGTATGTGACTGGAATCCCAGCAGACAAAATAATTCAGAAGAAATATTTGAAAAAATAATACCTAAAGTTACAGTAACCAAAACCACATTACTGGCATAAAAACAGACAGATAGACCAATAGAAGAGAATAGAGAACACAGAA